GTTAGAGATTAATTACTTGTAAGTTTTACATATAATTTTGAATAACTTGATCCCAAATAAACAAGGGCAGGACAGCCAAATTAGAAAAAAAAAAAATTATGCAATATAATAAAATTCTACCCAATAGCTATTATATACAGGTTTGTCCAATTTGAGTGTTTTAGGGATATCGATATATGTTGCTTCATTCAGGTTTTTGATTAGTGCCAACTTTAAATTGTAAATTATTAAATTACATAAGGATTTAAATTAAAAATATCATATACAATATATAATAGAACATCATCATCAGTATCTTCTGTCTCTGAACTAGAAGCATCGTCCTTTTTGTAATTTTTTTTCCTTTTGGCCCTTTTTTTTTTCTTTTTTTTGGATGAGTCATTATCCGTACTATCTGAATTGGCATCCGTTTTCTGGTTCTTAACCTCTTTGTTATGAGCAATTTGAAGTTTTTCCAAGGTTTCTAGTCGCTTAAGTAAAGCTGAAATATTTTTTGTTGCAAAAGTCTCATTATCACAGTTAAAACCTAATCCACTTTCATTCATTTCAAACTCTATCTCAGACTGGTTTGTGTCTTCGTCTTCACTTGTATCTGCTTTTTGTTTATTTTTATTACTTAGTTGTTTTTTAGTTTTGTTTAAACACATTTTATTTTAAATATGTAATTATCGTTTTATCGCTAAAATATATTTTATGAAAAAGAAAGAGATCAATTGTCATATACACAAATATGTATATATATTGATATATATATGATAGACTCAGTTTAGAGTAACAATCAGTAAACATTGTTATAAATATCACATATACTATATTCTACATGTATTGTGAATTATTATTAGATAAGGATTACTTGGTAATACTGGTGACATATAATATAATGTAAGTGATATTTAGATTATATATAGTTAATTTAACTATAAATATTTATCAGTTAAATCAGAAGTCTATGTAAAGTTTATTTTAAATACTGCATATTATTACTATTTTAGTATTTATAATCGATTTTTGTATAATGATAATAATAAAGTATAAAATAGGTTTGTAAGAACGGTCATATAAAAGAAAAGAATTAGTGATTAATAAGAGATCTAATCTTTCTCTCAAACCAATGTAAAACGAACATTTGTGTTAACCTTGTGTGTTTGAAGAAGTAAGGTGTTGGTTGGAGTTAATTAAAGAAGTAAAGGTGTTGGTTGGAGTTAATAATATAAAGAAATAGATAGAGAAGACAAACAACAAAACTCTTTTTTATTTAATACGAAAGAAATTAATTATTTAAAAAAGGTCTAAGACCAAAACATTCTTGCTATAAAATAGAAGCATAAATATATAATTCTGAACATTTTAACCTGTGACTAATTAAATCAAAATATATATATATATATTTATTTATTTTATTGATTTTTTTTTTTTAAAAAAAATATCAATATAATTTCTAAATGTTGGTGTGGTGTACTTGTCGTTTGTGCTCATCAAATAATGATGGTGGTTCATGGATATCAAAAAGTGCTAAAACTCGGCATTGACGACGTGATAAATAAAATACCCAAAGTCTTAGTAATGATTTAACATTACAAAGTAATATTCAAATTTTAGCTACAAACAATAATTTTTATCAAAATTCAGTTAAGTTTAATCTAAATTCAGAAGAATCTCTACAAGCCTATCAAGATTATGAGAATAATTTAGAAAATTATAGCGACCTTGATTTAACATTACAAAGTAATATTCAAATTTTAGCTACAAACAATAATTTTTATCAAAATTCAGTTAAGTTTAATCTAAATTCAGAAGAATCTCTACAAGCCTATCAAGATTATGAGAATAATTTAGAAAATTATAGCGACCTTGATAATAATTTAGAAGTAGATAAATTTGGAAGTGGGTTCGAATTAGAGGATAGTTCAGGGTGTGAAGATGAATTGGTATATAAATTGAAAAGTGAAGATGAATTAGAAGATTGTGATGAATCGGTAAATAGCTTGGAAAGCAGAAATAAATTTGATGATGGTGATGAATTGATGAATTGTTTTGAAAGCGGAAATGAAGTTGAAAACAATGATGAATTGATGAATAGTTTGGAAAGCGAAAATGAAGTTGAGAACAATGATGAATTGATGAATAGTTTGAAAAGCGAAAATGAAGTTGAGAACAATGATGAATTAGGAAATAGTTTGAAAAGCGAAAATGAATTTGAGAATAATGTTGAATTAGAGAATAGTTTATGGAGTGGAAATGAATTTGAGGACAATGATGAATGGGAAAATAGTTTATAGAGTGAAAATGGATTTGAGGACAATAATGAATGGGAGAATAGTTTAGAGTGTGAAATGAATTTGAAGACAATGACGAATCATGAAATAGTTTAAAGAGTGGAAACGAATTTGAGAACTATGATGAATTAGAAAATAGTTTAGAGAGTTGTGATGAGTATATGAGCAGGCTTGAGTATGAAGATTCTAATAATGAGTCAGAGAGTGATAGTAATAATTCAACTATAATAGATACAAGTAATACAGATATTGAAGGTAATATATTACATTATAATATCTACTAGTATGCAACTTTATTTATTTACAACAACTTATTTATTTACATATAATTAAATATTAGAAAATATATCCTTTATATCTCCTGAACTTGCTACTATGATTCGACTTCTGAAAATTAAAGTGCAAAATAATCTTACTAATGAAGCCTTTTTTGAAATCATGAAGACTGTAGTTACAAAACCAATCAGCTTATATTTAATTAAAAAAAACTATTATCATTAATTCCATTTAAACCCGTGTGGATAGATATGTATATCAATACCTGTTGTGCTTATATTGGCGATTATAGAAATTTTACAGAATGTCCATATTGTAAAAAGGAACGATATCAAGCTGAATTTCATAATAACAAAGATACTGAAGCACGTTGTAAATTTGCATATTTCCTAATTATTAATCGTCTTATAATGCAATACCAAGATGCAGAATAAACAAAAAATCTACTTTATTGTTCAGAATATGTATCAAGGCCAGAATATCAACATAATGAAAAAATTGGAGATGTGTTCGATGGCTAACGATATAAAAAACTAGTACGAAGAGGATATTTTAAAAAAAAGTATGACGCTGCATTATTAGCATCAATTGATGGGTTTCAAATTTTTAAACAGAAGACAGATGACTGCTGGATTCTGCTATTTATAAATGCAAATTTATCTCCTGAAATACGTGTAAAAAAAGAAAATTTTTTGATCTCCACAATTATACCGGTTCCAAAAAAACCGAAAGATCTAAATTCTTTTTTATTTCTCACCGTTGCTGAACTTCAAAGATTAGACGAAGGAGTAGTGTGTCCTAGTGTTCAACATGAAGATATATTCATATTATGTGGTTGTGTACTATCTTGTTCTGGTGACATACCTGCGTCTACAAAATTAATGTGCCTTACGGGACATAATTCATATAGAGGATGCCATTATTGCAATATTAAAGGCATTTATTCTTCGCATATATATTATCCTACCAAACCACCCAGTGATCAGAATAGTGAAACTTATGATCCTGAAAATCTACCAATTAGAACTCATTATGAATTCAAAAGACAAATAAAAAAAATTCAAAAAGCACAAACACAATTAGAAAAAAATCAAACAATAAAACAGTATAGTATTCGCAAACAAAGTATATTATTTAATCTCAATACTACCAACTTCCCAAATATATTTCCTGTGGATATTATGCACTTATTTTATGAGAACATTGCTGGTTATATGCTGGCTCATTGGATGGGTTCTTTTTTTACCTATCCAGACCAAAATAATGGTGAATATGTTTTAAACAAAGAAATGTAAAATAAAATTGGAAACAAGATGCATTTAGTACGAAAAAACATTCCATCAAGTTTGGGTCGGCCATTGCGAAGCATTGTTCTGCATTACCGTGGCTATAAGGCAGAGGAATGGTCCTCTTGAATTACAATGTATTCACTACCGTTCCTTAAAAATCAATTGCCTAATAAATATTACAAAAGATGGGGGTTGTTTATAAAGGCTATACAATTATGTCAAAAAAGAATAATAACATATGATGATTTAAATAAAATTAGATCATATCTTCTAGCATTTTATAGACATTATGAAAAAGAGTATTATCGTGGGCTATTAGAACGTTTAAGCACAATGAAAATATGTATACATAATATGTTGCATGTTTCAGAAAGTATTTTTCAAACTGGACCCTGTTGTGCAACATGGCAATATCCAATTGAGAGGATGTGTGGAATGCTACTTCCCCTAACTAAATCGAAATTATATCCGTACAAGAATCTTACTAATAACATTCACTTACATGAAATTTTTAATTGTTTAAAATTTAACCGAATAATATATGACCAAATTTTCTCATCAATTTTGCCCAAAATTCATGATGAACATCTAGTTTACACTGGAGAAGGTGGACAAGATTTCTATTTTCCTTCAACTCCACACAAATTAACACAGGCTGAATTAAAAAAAATTAAAGACCATTTTTTTTACTATATCAGATGTGTCTGGGTTGCAACTTATGTCTTTTAGTCAAACAGGAACAAAGTATGGTCAGCTTAGAACAAAAGATGGCCATTATATTGGGTCAAAATAGATTCATCATAATAAAAACTGGTCAAGGATTAATTATACTGTTATAGTAAAAATAAAAGTAGATATTTATACGAACTATTCTAAACGACTGTCGGTATTCGAAGTTCAAAATTTTTATGCTATTGTAGAATATTATTTAGTTTATGAGTTCGAAGAATCAAAAGTAATGTTGGCATATGTTCAGTGGACATCGCCTGTTAAAGAAGATAGTACTGGTGAAAGACATTTAGTCGGTTAGGGTCATATGCATTTATTGATTCATCAGCTATTGATTATTGTGTTAGTTTTATTAAAATTGATAAGTTATTTTACATTGTAGATAAAAAAGTAGATGATGACAAATAATTGTGTATTATAAAAATATTACACAAATTTAGAAATCATTATCTTTGGTATCATATTATTTATGTGATGTTCATATTTTTTATATATCAAACATGCATATATATTTTGTAGTATGCAAGTGAATATTTTTGTGACGCTTCTTTTTTAAAAAAAGTGATGTTATAGTGAAACTGATTGATTATAATAAAGTAAAATTTTAATTTTACTTTATAGTTTCTAAATTAAATGCATTCGAATTCAACTTTTATTCTGAAATATATTAACCTTTTTAATAACAAACAGAATACTTTGGAAAAATTTTCCAAGAGTTATCACTTACCATAATGAACTAATATAGAACTTATAAATTTCACAGAATTGACTATATGTTTGAAAAATCTATATGTATATATAATGTTGAAAATATATGACCCATATGTATATATATATATATATCAGATTCCAGTTCACTCTATTCAGGGTATTACTTAAGATATACTAATAAATAAACCTATATTTTAGATATTGACACCAGTAAATGGGAAGTCAATCGCTTTATAGCTCAATCGATAAGGGCGTATTAAATTTGCAAATTGGGATCGTAGATAGTTAGTGTAGTTGAATAATACAACACATAATGTAGTTGCCCAGGAAATAAAATTGGAAAAACATTAAATAACTAAAGGCCAACAAAGGCCAACCTTAGCTTCTGCTAATAATATGTAAAAAAATTGTGGAAATTTATTTCTTGATTTCAGCATCCATGGATGCTGAAATAAGACATGTGATAATCGATATTTGGATAAAGTTACGTGAGCAAGACAATTATGCGAACAAAGATCTATTACTATCCCACTTAACAATAGATCCAGGTTTGGATATTTTAGTTAGCACTATATTTCTTAGTGAACTTAAGTTTATATGGATCAATGGGAACTTGATTGAATGCAAAAGTTGTAAGTAGCACAAAACTTATTCTCTCTAGGGACTTCACAGTCTTTATTTATATTAAAAGAGTACAGTTACAAGTAAATAGCTTATATACTATATGTCTAATTTCTATAACAAATTTCATAAATGCAACAATGTCATAAATGCAATAAATGCGATAAATTACACTTTCTTTCATGCTTGTTAGTTGAACTGTAACACAAGACTGGGTTAAATTCGGGTTCACATATAAATTGTTAAAGATTAAAATAAAAACATACAGTTTATTAACATAAGCTTATACAGTACAACTGTAATAAAATTAGAGTACAATTGCAATACAACTGTTGTTACAATTACAATACAAGTATTGATATAATTACAACATAATTATAATACAAATAAGACTATAATATTGCTTATTTCTGTACAATTCTTATACATAATTGCTAACCAAATTTAATGTTATAGAATCATATACAATTATTTTGCATAATTATTAGTCAAATTTATGGAATTGTATATTTTTATACAATTATTATTACCTTAAAGATTTTTTTGTTTTTCTGCTTCAATACAAATATTGTACTGTATTGAATCTATTTTGAATATAAGTTGTATAAAACTTAACAAAAATATTATATATTCTGTATGATTTTTTTTTATAGAGCCGGCCTCCACTAAATAGTATATTCGTTGTGGAGAATATCCTTGCCCATTTATTATATTTGATTACACTGATGTATGTATAGGGGATGAGTGGGGGAGTAGTAGTGTAATAGTATAAACTACCCCAAGCACCGCCAGATTTCACTAATCGACACGAATTGACAAGATCAGGTGTAATGCGAAAATCATGCATTTTTTATAAGGGTGCTTCTAGGCATCTCTCGTGGGAGATATATATCTCTATAGGGAGATGTATATCTTCTGCCAATAGTGATCCACAATTTAGTGCAACGTAATAAGATCAAGAAAATTCAAAACAAACATTCGTTTAAAGAAAAAATCGCTTATTTTTCAAAAAAACGCATAAGAAACCTACTTTTGTGCTCTAATGAAAAGTTTTCTTAAGCAAATTCACTATGTAATCTACTTACCTCTAACCTTAATCTAATGTTATTCTAACGTAAATGGACTTTAAAGGATTCTGAGAGATATATCTCCCACAAGAGATGCCTATAATTTTCCTTTTTATAAAACCACCTGTAACTCAAAATTTCATATATGTAACCTTCTTCTGCGCACTAGTAAAAAAAATTTCTTGCAAAACTTTATATAAGACAAGCCTCTTTAGACTTTAAAAATTGCGCATATTCGTTGTTTTGATTGTCGATCACTGTCAGTGCCACTGGGGTAGTGTAATAGTATTAGTATCCGGTAAGAGTCTAT